TAAGCAGCTGGTGCTGAGTAAGCCTGGTACACGGCACTGGACTTGGACCTCGAGAACATCAAGGTGGTCGGCACGTCACAAGCTGCCCTGTAAAGGTCCTCCCCCCACATTGAAGGCAGATGTCTATCAGATAGCTGATAGCTGATAGTTCAGAGCCGATGAGGAAACCCTGAGGCTGGGGCGGCAGCTGCTGGAAGGTGTTACCCGGAGCCAGAGTTTGTGACACACGTCCGTACGTCCAGCGCCTGGAGCCCACCTTGATCGGCTGCAGAGAGGCCAGCAGCTGCTGCTTAAACTCCACACCTCCAACTGGTGGAACCATCGCTCAATGGGAAGGGACGTGTGCCTGAGCTGCGGACAGGAAGATGGTGGCAATGCTCTCACACATTTCATGGTGAGCTGTGTTGCCCACCGAGGAAGCTAGAGTAATCTGAGGATACCAATTTAAAATTGTTGTTAAAAGAAACAGAGGGTTAGGTGAATATAATATAGTCCATATTTAATAATACATATGGAAAATGAAAAGAACCTGGGGGTCCTGATTGACAATAAATTGAACCTTTCGCAACTATGCTCTGTGGCAGTGAGTCAAGCAAACCACATGTTGGGAAGTATCAAAAGATCAGTAGCAGCCGAAATAGTGGGGTAATCCTGCCGCTGTACAAATCATTGGTGAGACCGTTCTTAGATAATGTGTACAGCTCTGGTCACCACAGTACAAAAAGGATAAGGGAGAAATCAAGAGGATACAGAGGAGGGCAACCAAAACGATTGAGGCAATGGAGGGACTGGACTATGAGGAGAGACTAAGTAAAATGGGCACATTCACATTGCAAAAGAGAAGATTGAGAGGAGATATGATTACTATCTTTAAGATTCTAATTATGACAGACTGTTTCAACTTGTCCAGAATAGTAAAACCAGAGGACACGGCCTGCGATTGAAGGGGGGAAATTCAGAACAAATATACGGAAACACTATTTCAGTGAGGAAATAGTGAACCTGTGGAACAGGCTCCCTAGGGAGATGGTTGAAGCAGAACGTGTTGATTCTTTCAAACACGGATTAGTTTGTTTTCATTTAGGAAATAACATTATGGGATATAGTACATAGGTTGTTCAGGACATGTGTGCATGCGACCGTCAGGAAGGTGGAAGGCGAACTGTGTTATTATTTATCATTAATCGTCTGTGTATATATAGCTTTCTGAGATGTGTTTTCTACAGTTTTTTCTGAACTTCCCTGTTACGAATTTAGTTATAATTAATAATCCTTGCATTTGATATAGCGCTTTTCATGTTTTCAAGGCGTCTCAAAGTGTTTCACAGAATATACTGTAAGGTGAATTGACTGTATATGTGTGAGTGAGACATGGCAGCCAATTGAATCCAGCAGCGTCCAATTGAGTGACCAAATTTTTTTTGGTTTGTTTTTTTCTTGAGGGATTATTATCAGGCGTGTGGAATAAGGAAACTTGCTCAACATTTCACCCGGCTGGGAAATGAACCCAGGTCTCTCGCTTTTGAGGTGAGTGCTCTAACTACTGAGCTACAGGACTCCAAATTATATATATAATTGTAATCCTTTGGTTCTGGATTCCGCAACCAAAGAGAAAAGACAATTCCTATTGTGGTGTACAAAATCCTACGGTGTGTCAGGGGAGTTTATGACATAATTTGCAGAGTTAAACTGTATGTCACTTTACTCAGAAGAAATTCTGGAGTCCTTTATATTGGCATAAAATAAATTGCAATATTGCCCTCAAACCTCAGCTGGATCTCATTAACTGATTATTTCTGCACCATCATAACTTTACCAATTCCACTCCTTTGGTTGGTGTTACAGCCAGAGTCTTTTATACCTGGCAGATTTGCCCCAAGCAATTTCTGGGCTCATTTAGAAGGACGAAACAAAATATTTTACAAGGAAGGATCAACCACATGAATGCCTGGTTGGAGAAATGGTGCAGGAAGGAGGGCTTCAGGCTTCTAAACCACTGGGACCATTTCTGAGGCAGATGGGACCTGTAGACGAGGGATGGGTTACACCTGAGCAGGGCTGGGGCCAATGTCATTGCAACAAGGATAACAACAACAACAACAACAACAAGATTCCATTTATAAAGCGCCTTTCACGTCAGAAGGACGTCCCAAGGCGCTGCACAGTTGGGTCAGGACCCGAGCAGGGGGGAAATGGTCAGGGTGAGGGGAGGGAAGGGAGGGAGCGAGGAGGGGGAAATGGTCAGGGTGAGGGGAGGGAAGGGAGGGAGCGAGGAAGGGGAAGAGAGTCGAGAGGGGAGCTGAAGGCTCGGTCAAAGAGAAAGGTTTTGAGACAAATGCTGTGGGGAAGCGTTTAAACTGATTTTGAGGAGGGATGGGGTTCAGAATGTAGCATCAGGGAAGGGAAGCGAGTTACATAGTGGACGAGGAGAGACAAATAGAAATGAAACAAGGAATAGTCCAGCAAAAAGGGGAGAGACAGGGGAGAAATGTAGAGCGGATTCGGCCGGTTTTGGAGTGCTTGTGTGTAAACGGACAGAGAGTGACCAATAAGCTTGGTGAGCTGTGGTTCGAGTTGCCACATGGGGCTATGATGTAGTGGCAATTACGGAGACTTGGCTCAAGCAAGGACAGGAATGGGAGCTGAATATTCCTGGCTACAGTCTATTCAGGAGGAATAGGGAAAGGAAAAAAAGGAGGAGGGGCGGCAATACTCATTAAGGTCACAGTCCTGGAAAGGGACGATGTGTTAGAGGGTCCAAAAACTGAATCTATTTGGTTAGAGTTACGGAGCAGAAAAGGAGCTGTTACTCTGTTTGGTATTTACTGTAGACCTCCAAATAGTGGGAAGGAGATAGATGAGCAAATCTGCAGCAGATTTCGGAGAGATGCAAAACCAATAGAGTAGTGATAATGGGGTATTTCAATTATCCTAACATAGACTGGGAAACACACAGTGTAAAGGGCAAGGAAGGGGAGGAATTCCTGAAATGTGTGCAGGAGAACTTTCTGGATCAGTATCTTTCCAGCTGGGGGTCCACATCAGCAAATCTCTGAAGGTGGCCGGACAGGTAATAAAGCTGTTAAAAAAGCAAACGGGATACTCGGCTTTATAAACAGGGGCATAGAATTCAACAGTCAGGAAGTTATGTTGAATATTTATAAGATGCTGTTAGGCCTCAGTTGGAGACTGCGTTCAGTTGTGGGCACCGCACTTTAGGAAAGATGTTGGGGCATTGGAGAGGGCACAAAGGAGGTTTACCCGATGGTACCAGGAATGAAGGACCTTAGCTATGAGGAGAGATTAGCGAAACTAGGATTATTCTCCCTGGAGCAGAGAAGATTAAGAGGGGATTTAATAGAGGTTTTCAAGATCATGAGAGGATTTGATGGGTTGAACCGGGAAAAACTGTTTCCATTGGCATGTGGGTCAGTAACCCGAGGACACCGATTTAAGAGAGTTGGTAAAAGAAACAGAGGGGAAGTGAGGAAAACATTTTCACCAGTGAGGTGTTGGGATCTGGAATGCATTACCTGAAAGGGTAGTGGGAGCCGATTCAAAACAACGTTTAAGAGAGAAGTAGACGGGTATTTGGGGAGGACAGGATTGCAGGGCTATGGAGAGAAAGGGGGCCCCGGTGGGATTGACTTGGAAGCTCTTTTAGGAGCCGGCGCAGACGCGATGGGCCGAATGGCCTCTTTCTGTGCTGTATGATTCTATGATTCTAAGTGTCTATTTGAGGTCAAGTTGGAGATGCACATGCCACTACCATTTTATCGCTGCTCAGATAGTAGACTTGTGCATCCCACCAGGGATCTGCATTCTCTGTAGGAGGTTCGAAATTCAGAACCACAAGTAATAAGATTTTATATTAAATAACTTGGAACAGACATAATGCACTCTGTAGGAATTATAGATGCACATTAGAAAAATGCCCATAGTTCACCATTAGAGTGCTACAAGGATGGCAAACGTGGAAAATAGAAATATATTGACGCAATGGAGGTTCTGACATTAAAGATGAGACATGTTGTTGTTGCTAAATAGAAGGAATCTTGTTGTGGATCTGACATGTATTATATGTGGTCTGGAAATGCTTGGTAAGGCAGGGTAAGCTTTAATCGACATCTCACATGATATATTGGCTAGGATCTTAAACACGCAGTATTGAGGGAGCATTATCCTGCATGTAATCTATTAATACCTGACTTCAGTGTGCTTAATGTGAAATTAGGGGCATAAATGTAGGAAGGTATTCCTATCTTCCTCATTAATCTTTATCTCCTCAATGAGCACAACAATGTATCCCTCACCCAAAAAGTAAGAAACTTTTGAAGCGTGGAGTCCTGTAGCTCAATGGTTAGAGCACTCGCTTTGCAAGTGAGAGACCTGAGTGAGTTCAATTCCAGGCAGAGGGCGAAACCTTGGGCAAGTTTCCTTACTCCACACCCCTAATAATAATCCCTCCAAAACCAAAAAAATAATAATAAATTGGTCATTTTCAATCCATGACTGTTTGTGGGACATTGCTGTGCGCAATTGGCTGCCGCGTTCGCCCACAAATATACAGTCAATTCACTTTACAGTGTATTCTGTGAAGCGCTTTGGGACGTCCTCCTGACGTGAAAAGCGCTATATCAAATGCAAGGATTATTAACTATATGCATTAACAGAGGATTATGTGGATTATTTTTAGCTGTTTTCTTACATAAAGAATCCTTAAGAGGCTGCAAGAAAAAAGTACTGAATCCTTCAATTGGTTTGATTTTAAAAAANCTGTATTGTGACAATATCTTTTGTTTGGGTATTATTCACATGCCTCATGATTCAGCAAGATGTTGTAAGTAAATACAAGAGCACTTCAGATAAAAGCTTTAGCACCTGTATGAGAATTTTATGAGTACCAATTTTACACTTCTATACAGTAGCACCTGTCGTGTTGGGAGGATGCCTGAGCTGGGGGAGGGAACTGAGGAAGGTCAAAAAGAAAGGGCTTAAAGTGGCCTTTAATGGTAGGAAGGGAGAGGGCAAATGAAGGAATCTTACTGATCTCCGATCCACCCTGGGTTGCAGTGCGAACACTTCCCATCTTCATGGCTACATGTCAGCCCGTCCTTGCAAACTGGGCACAACTTGGCACACACGTCCCCATAGTATCCCGCTGAGCAGATCCTGTCACACCGGGTCCCATTCCATCCAGCCTCACACGCCACACATCGACCGTCAAAGATCTGGCAGGGCTGCAGCTCTTTACAGTGGCCACACCTATCAATAAAGAGTGTCAGACATTACTCATGTTTGATGTTAACCTTACCAGCACCTCTCCCCGCTTATCTTCTGCGCTCAGACTTCCTAAACTGTTCTGACATGTTACACAACAAACTGTTGCTCCGGTTTTATTTGCAGTTTCTTTGCTCTAAACAATCAGACCAGGACCTTTTCCAGTCACCGCCGCCAGCCCTGGGCAGCCCCGCTGGTCCAGGTGGTGAATCTGTTGGTGGCAGCAAAGTGCTCTTCTGCTCCTCCAACAACTCTCAGAAATCTGTCCTGATGCATTTATACACAATCATTAATGACATTTTACATAATTTTACAATTAAAGATGGTGAAAGTCCAACAAAGCAAACCCATAGCGATGAATTCACCGTTCCTGTGACTCCCATCAATTTGCCAGACAGTACTTCCCGCCTCACAAGTCACACCATTGAGAATGACTCAGCTCCACACCCTTCACTTGGGCACTGACTTCCTCCAAGGAGGTGAATCAGAGTTCAGGGAATGGAAGTGCCACAAAACAGGCTGTGTAGGGCCGAGTCAATGTTTAAAAGGAGACAGACAGACAGACAGACAAGTGTGCTGAGGGACATAATAATAAGCTTTGAGTTTGATATAGCACTTATCACGTCTTTGTGACGTCTCAAAGCGCTTCACAGACTATACTGTAAAGTAGATTGACAGTGTATTTTGTGGGCGAAACACAGCAGCCAATTGTGCACAGCAGCGTCCCACAAACAGTTGTGGATTGAGTGACCAAATATTATTTCTTTTAAGGAAGTATTATGGAGAAAAAGCAGGGAAAAGATAAACATCTGAAGCAGGATCCAAGGACTGCAAAGCTTCTCCAGTTCTTCTGTTGGTGCATTATTTAATTTGGAATATCACAAACCACAACATTCAGAATTAAAACTTCCAAAGTCAAACCATACCACAGAATCTCACTGCATCACTACCACAGACGCCTTCGTCAGTACAATGGCAGCTTCAGAGGCACTCTGAGCTCCCCCTCCCTCGCACACCTCCCATTCCCCTCTCCCATCATTCTTTGCTTCTCATATCTCAACAAATTTGCCATCCGTGGCACTATATTTGCCTTCAACTCGTGCCTTAATTTTAGCCAATACAGAAATCTTTTATGTGGCATTTCTCAAATTCTTTCTCAAAATCCATATGAATGAATCTATTGGTTCTTCCTCATCCAGAGACTTGATGATGATGTTTAAGATTATGAAAGGATTCAATAGGGTGGATATTGATAACATGTTTCCACTCATTGATAAGCCCAAAATGAGGGGACATAAATAAAATCTAAGATAGCCAGTAGCAGATCTGAAAGGGAGTTTAAGAGGAACTTCTTCACATGGAAAATGGTAAGTGGGACTCACTGCTGGAACTGTGGATGAAACAAAAAGCATCAATTTATTTAAAAGCAAACTTGATGAATAAATGAAGGTGAAGAGAATAGAGGGGTATAGGACAGAGAATAAAAAAGAAACAAATGAGTTGGACTGAATGGTCTGTTTCCACACCGAATCGTCCTGTGGAACTTTGTGTAATATCACTTCTGTGATTCTGTCAAAGATGTTAAATTTGTGAGATATGGTCTTCAAGCTCATGTCAACTCTTTGATCTGTACATATTTATTGAGATGATTAGTTATCCTGGTGAGAGGTTCTCCCTTCTGTAGGAACGTTGGCAGAGCTGCCAGGAGGACATGGGACAGACTGGGGTCCTTAAAGAGCCAACCCGCTGGGAGGAGGTAGACTCTGTGCTGGGACACTAAAAGTAAGGCAGCTAGTGCAGACATCATTAATGCTGAGTTCCTAAAAGCTACTGGGGGTGGGGCAGGGGATGGGGGGAGAAGTGAAGATCTCACAGTCCAATCCAGGAACCTCCAACTGGCCTTAGAGTTGCTTGCCCTCCTAGCGATGGCTTCCTCTAAGGCACACTCTCTGTCAGATAGTGGTCCACAGTACAATTATGGTTTCTATCCGCAAGACAGTTAACCATCACGACACTGAGGATCTCAATGATATCAGTGGCTCTGAAATGGTGCTTTGGGTAGTCACATCTCCATGTATGCGGATGACACCCAAATCTACTAATCCTCCTCCAGCTGCAACTCCAGCTCCGCCGATGTTCTCTCTGCTTGTTTGGCAGACATCAGGGCCTGGATGAGCGAAAACTTCCTACAACTCAATGTTGACAAGATGGAAGCCATAATCATTGACTCCCACCAACGTCTTCTATCTTGTGGCTCTGACCTCCTCAACCTCCCTGGCCCATCCCTTAAACTTAACCGTCAGTGCGTAACTTAATCGTCAGGTTTGACTCCCAACTGCCTTCCTTCCCCACATCCAGTCCCTGACCAGGACCGCCTTCCTCCACCTCTGCCACATTGCCCGCCTCTAACCGTACCTGATCCCAGAAGCAGCCGAAACACTCGTCCATGTGTTCATCACCTCCCACCTTGACTTCTCAAATACCCTCTTTCCCGTTCTCCCAGCTCCACCATGTACAGGATCCAGCTGATCCCAAACTCCGCTGCCCACATACTAAACTCCGTCACATACTAAACTCCCCACTGCCCTAAACTCCGTCCCCCCATCACATCAGCTCTAGCCGGGCTCCATTGGATCCCTATCCCCGAACGGATCGATTTCAAGATCCTCACACTAGTTTTTATGCCCTGGCACCTCCTACCTCTCCCACATGCTCACCCCCCCCCAACCCACTACCCGCTGCCTCCACTCCACTGACTCCAGCTGCTGCACGTCCCTGGTGCCCTCTGTTGCACCATTGGTGGCTGCCTTTTCAACCACAACATCCCAAAACTCTGGTACAATCTTCCTTGATCCCTCCTTGTCCCTTCCTTCCCCATCTTTAGGTCACTCCTAAAGAACTTCCTCTTCGACCGTGCCTACAGTCACCTACCCATCCTCCCGTTTCAGGTCCTGCTCCCCCACTGTCAAGCTCTATGGGACGCTGCCCTGTGTGAGAGGCGCTATATAAATGCAAGTTGTTGTTGTCATATGTATCGCATGCATTGGAGACTCGCGGTTTGATCAGGAAAAAGCAGAGACTTTTGTTGTCGTGCATTTTGGGGGACAGGTTATAGCTTTGTATGAAATCGAAGAACACCATAGGCTAAGAGGAAATTCATATACGTTGCATTCGACTTCCACAAGACTTTCGACCTCGTGCCTAATGAAGTCATCAGGTTGAAACTGGAAGCCATGGGAGCACATGGACAAATCCTGGATTTTATCTGGAATGTGCACTCCAGCTCCAAGGTCATTGTAAGGGTTGACAATGGTCTTCATAGAATCATAGAATTATACAGCAAAGAACGAGGCCATTCGGCCCATTGTGTCTGTGTCGGCTTTTTGAAAAGAGCTTCCAATTTAACCCCACTCCCCCGCACTCTCCCCATAGCCCTGATCAACCCCACTCCCCCGCACTCTCCCCATAGCCCTGATCAACCCCACTCCCCCACTCTCTCCCCATAGCCCTGTAATGCATTCCACATCCCAACAACTCGCTGTGAAAACATTTCTTCTCTTCTCTGTTTCTTTTAACAACTATTTTAAATCGATGCCCTCGGGTTACCGACCCACCCGTCGGTGGGAATAGTTTCTCCTTGTTCACCCTAGCGAATTCCCCAATCACTTTGAAAACTTCTATTAAGTCTCCTCTTAACCTTCTCTGCTCCAAGGAGAATAATCCTCACTTCTCTGCCTCTCCTGATAACTGAAGTCCCTCATTCCTGGTACCATCCTGGTCAATCCCCTTTGCACCCTCTCCAATGCCTTGACATCCTTCCTAAAGTGTGGGGCCCAGAACTGAACACAGTCTCGAGCTGAGGCCTAACCAGTATTTTATATAAAGCTTCATCATAACTTCCTGACTTGTGTATTCTATGCCCCTATTTATAGAGCCTTGTATCCCGTATGCTTCTTTTAACAGCTTTATCTACCTGTCCTGCTACCTTCAAAGATTTACTATATGAACCCATATGAACCTGAATGTGTTCAGTATTGGACACAGGAGTGGGGCCAAGAGACTGGAGAGTGGCTAATATTACCCCCTCTTCAAAAAGGGGCAGAAAGACAAACCCGGAAGTTACAGGCCAGTCAGCCTAACTTCGGTAATAGGAAAACTACTGGAGACCATAATCCGGGACAGAATAAATCTCTTACTTAGAGGAACACAAGGTAATTAGAGACCCAACATGGATTTGTTAAAGGCAAATCTTGCCTAACAAATCTAATAGAATTTTTTGAAGAGGTGACTGCGAGGGTTGATGAGGGAAATGCGGTGGACATTATTTACATGGATTTCAAAAAGGCTTTTGACACAGTACCGCATAAGAGATTAATAAAAATAGAGGCCCACGTATTAAGGGGACAGTGGCAGTTTGGATTAGGAACTGACTGAGTGACAGAAAGCAGAGGGTGGTGGTTAATGGGTGTTTCTCGCAATGGAAGGAGGTGTGCAGCGGTGTCCCCCAGGGATCGGTATTGGGACCACTGCTCTTTCTAATATATATTAATGATCTGGACTTGGGCATAGGAGCACTATTTCCAAGTTTGCAGATGATACCAAGTTAGGTCGGGTAGTAAATAGTGAGGAGGACTGTAACCAACTGCAGGCAGACATACACAGAATGGTGGAATGGGCTGACATGTGGCAGATGGATTTCAATGTGGATAAGTGTGAGGTGATACACTTAGGTAGGAAAAATGATAGGAGGCAATATAGACTTGGAGCTCAATCTTAAGGGGGTGAACGTACAGAGAGATCTGGGTTCAAGTAAGCGAATCATTAAAGGTAGGGGCAGGTAGATAGGGCAGTAAAAAAGGCATTTGGTGTACTGAGCTTTATTAGTAGGGGCATAGAGTATAAGAGTAGGGGTTATGGTTAATCTGTACAAAACACTGGTTAGGCCTCAGCTGGAGTACTGCGTCCAGTTCTGGGCACCTTACCTCAGGAAGGACATTAAGGCACTGGAAAGGGTGCAGAGGAGATTCACGAGAATGATACCAGGAATGGGGAACCTTAGCTATGAGGACAGTGGAGAAGTTAGGACTTTTCCCATTAGAGCAGAGAAGGTTACGTGGGGACCTGATAGAGGTCTTCAAGATCATGAAAGGTTTCGACAGGCGAGATAGGGAAAAGCTGTTTCCGCTGGTAGGTGTGTCTGTGACCCGCGGTCACAGTCTTAAGATATCTACCAAAAGAAGCAGAGGGGAGGTTAGAAGAAATGTTTTCACTCAGTGAGTTGTTGGAATTTGGAATGATCCGCCCGAAAGGGCAGTGAAGTCCGATTCGATTAAGAGAGAACTGGACAGGTATCGGGGGAAGACGGGTTTGTGGGGTTATGGGGAAAAAGCTGGTGATTGGGGTGAGTGAAAGTGACGCTCTGTCAAAGAGCCGCAGAGACTCGATGGGCCGAATGGTCTCCTTCTGTGCTGTAACATTCTATGAATCTATGAATCTATGAAAACCCCCAGGTCTCTCGGCTCCTTCACCCCCTTTAAGATTGTTCCATCAGCTCATATTGCCTCTCCTCATTCTTCATCACAAAATGCATCACTTCGCATTTCTCCACATTAAATTTCATCTGCCACGTGTCTGCCCGTGTTACCAGTCTATGTCCATTTGAAGTCTGCTACTATCCTCCTCACCGGTTACGACCTTTCCTAGCCTGGTATCATCTGCAAACTTGAAAATTGTACTCCCTATACCCAAGTTCAGGTCATTTATATTATTTCGCCCACAAATATACAGTCAATTCACTTTACAGTCTATTCTGTTAAGCGCTTTGGGACGTCTAGAAGACGTGAAAAGATCAAATGCAAGGATTATTATTATTATTATTATATAGATCAAACAGCAGTGGTCCCAATACTGAGCCCTGGGGGACACTACTGTACACTTCCCTCCAGTCAGAAAAACAACTGTTCACCACCACTCTCTGCTTTCTGTCTCCCAGACAGTTCTGTATCCGCTGCCACTGTCCCTTTAATATCGGGGGCTTCAATTTTGCTTACGTCTCTTATGTGGTATTAAGTCGGGTATATGGGTTCTCTTTGCAGCTGAACTGGCTCCATGGTGACATGTTTGACAATGGAGCGTTCCTCCCTCTGTGGTGGTCTTGCAATTCTAGCTCCTGAGTAGTATTCCAGGCACTGCTAATGACAGCACAGCCAGCCTGGCTCATCGGCAGGTCCAGGAAGGACAGAGCAGTCACTGGGGGTAGAGACTCTTTCCACTCAATTCCTCTTAACCCTGCAGCCAAAGTTCTAATGGGAGGGTGGTCCTCGCTGGACAAGCAGCGGGAAAGCTTGCCAGACAAAGCTCTCAATGGCAAGCTACACGGTTTTGCTGGTTAGACTCTAGCAGGATGCTAATGCCCACTCAGGGGATACCCTGGCAAGCCTTGGCTTTGCCAACCTCATCCTAACACTCTGAAAAATGAAAAAAAGGAAACTCTTTACAAACACAATGCGGACAGTAAGAGCAGGCAGAGCTTGAAGGTGTTGGCAAAAGGCACAATTAAAGTTCTTTACGGAAGTTTAAAGCCAGGAAGAGAAGCACAAGGCGATTGTGATGAGGAGC